ACCGGCGTCGCCGCCGCGCCCGCCGTCCCTGCCGCCGCGCCGCTCCTGCGGCAAATGGTGCTGAATGTACTCGATGCTCTCCACGTCCAGCCGCGCCGCCGCCGCGCGCGCCGCACGGTCAGCGCTGCTGACGTCATCGTCCAGGTCGCTGCTGAAGTCCCCATAGTCGTCAGAGTCCAACGCGCGGCCCCGATTACCGCCGTCGGCGCCGCCGTTTGCGTCGCGGCGCGTGGGGGCGGGAGCGGAGCTCTCGCCGGCGCCGCCGGCGTGTGCGGCTGCCATCTGGCCGAGGACGGCGCTGCGCATTTTGTTGATCGCCTCTGCATTGTTCAGCAGGGACTGCGGGGCGGGAAAAAACGAGTGGAAGATGAGCAGACGGCGCGAGCACCGGCGCTACGCATCCGGCGTAAGATGCCCATGCGGACGGCCATGCAGGCCCTGCGCCGCTCCATGCAAATCAGATTCGCCCGGCCGCGTTTCTACCTGGAACATAGCATCGCTCATGGCTGGCGAGCCGCCTGTGTCGCGCTCCTCGTCACCACCCATTGAGGCGGATGCGGAAGAGGACCACTCCAGGTGCCCCTCATCCTGCTCACGGCCCGCGCGCCGCCGCTTGGCCTGCTTGGGGCCGCCTCCGGCGCCGCTCGAGGGGCCGCCGCCGCCGCTTGCGCCGCCGTCGCGGCTGCGCAGGCCGCCGCTGCCGGCACTGCGGCTCGCACCGGCGCGGGCGAGGCGGGCGCTGGCAGTCCGCGTGGTGCGGAGCTGTAGCGGCGGCGCGGGCCGCGCCACCGCCGCGCGCATCGCTAGCCGTCGCAGAAGCAGCATGCTGTATCTGTGACTGGCGAAAAGGAGGGGCAGATTCTAGACCACTGTATGTATGTGCTACCAATACATATATGATACTTGCTGCTTGATCAATTCAACAGCGGGCACGCGGTCGTCGATGTGGCAGCGTACGTGGGACAAGCACTTTCAATTAAAACGTGCACGTTCCTATATGCCTGCAATTATTTGCGCCTGTATTATAGTATCCCTTCTTCCTGAAAGACAATCCAGACTCCTGAGTGATCTTTGTGACCTCAAGTGACACCGGCTGGACGAGCCCAATGACGTTGATCCCACCTAACAGTTGCATTGACTGCAGGATGCGCGCATCCTCACGCGCGTCCCTCTGCCGGCCGTGCGGCCTAGCGCTCGCCAGGCCACCCCGCGTGCTGCGGCGCCCGCGCTCCACTCCATCGGCCGCGTCGGCCTCGCCAGAGGGTGCCGGCGCCGCGGCCGCGGCGCCGCTGACAGCACAGCAGGAGGAGGACCGCTTCCACGAGGCGTACGCCAAGGTGCGCGCCGGCACCCGCGCGGGGAGCGACGCGCCTGCTGACGTGCCATCCGACCGTCCCCGCCCGCACCCTCAAAACCTCGCACCCACCTCCACCCCCACATGCACCATCTGTCCCCCACCCCCTTGACGCTGGCACACCCGCCAGGCCTTCACCGTGTCTCAGCTGTACAACGTAAACCGCCCGCCGCCGGTGCCGCTCACCGAATACGAGCAGCGGCGCAAGCGGCGCGATGCCGAGGAGATCCTGGCGGTGCGGGCGAGCTGAGCGCTTTTCAAACAATCAAATCGACAGATGCCTAGTGATGCGCACTACCCTGCACTCGTGATCCCTGGAGTATTTGTCATAAGCCGTCACCTTCCCTCCTCACAAATAGCCGTGCCGGCGGCGGTCGTACCACATATGCTCAGCCAGCACGGGCAGTGCCGGCTCTGACGTCGTCGCAACCCCCCCGCCGACGCCGCCTCCCCGCTGACGCCGCGCCGCCCTCGAAGGCCGCCAAGAAGCAGGGGAAGGCGCAGGACGCAGTGAAAGAGGGCCTGCAGCAGCTGGAGGCGCTGCTGCCCGATATCGTCGACCTCAACAGGTTCGGCCTAGCCGGGGTGATCCTGCGGCGCACCTCGGCCCCCCGCAAGCCACCCCCTGCTTCCCCACGCAGCCGTCGCGGTGGTATAGCGCTGATCTAGTACTTGAACCGGTGCGCGGCAGTCAGCCCGTGGGCCCTGCTCTTGCGCCGCACACCCAGAGCCGCTGGGCACAAACCGCCACAGACCTCCTGAGACGCGCGTGGTGCTTCGCGCCGCCGCCCCAAAACCAACCGCCCCCGGCCCGCCAGGATGCGCGCGCGGGACTGGGTGGGCCTCGCGCTGGACGTCAATGGGGTGGCTGCAAAGCTGATCCTCCTCAAGACCCTCTACCCGAACGCCGACGGTGGGCGGCCGCGCTTCGCTGCTTCTACCGCCGCCGCCGCCGCCACCGCCGCCGCCGCCGCCGCCGCCGCTGCTGCTGCTGCTGCTGCTGCTGCTATTGCTGCTGCTGCTGCTGCTGCTGCTGCTGCTGCTCCATTGGTGGCGCGGTTGAGCCACAGGGGCACCACAGCAGCCGGCCCTCTGATCGTCTGCCACTGCCACAGCAGCGGGCTTCTAGATTGCACGACGGGAATTCGTGGGACAATCCGTCGGCCATGATGCATGCGCAGCGGCAGCCATGCATGCATACCAAGCTGCGCCTACGCATGCGTGCCGCATGCGCAGCTGTGCACATGCATGTGCGCAGCAGCACCCGCGGGCTGGCTTGCAGTGCAGCCGAGTCGTGTGCTCTGCGCCCTCAGCTGCGCGATGCCGCCCCCTGGCATCCGCCTAGTCAGCATGGGCACGGGCCGCATGCAGCATGCACGCCCCACCCTCTTCATGGCGCCTCGCATCCCATGCGCATGCACACGCTCCCGCGCCCGCTGCTCCCGCTCCCCAGTGTTCAGCATGGTCACGTTGCGCCCGAAGACGCTGCTGCAATCAGAGGCGGCGATGCAGGCAGACGGGGGCGAGGTGCTGCGGCTGCTGTCTAAGGCAAAGGATGTCTGCGCCATCGTGCAGGTGGGGCGACCGAAGCACCCAACGCCCCACGATAAGCAATCCCACAAGGTTTACAACCCCCAAACACAGTATGATTACGATCGCATTTATGTGTTGTTCCGCAAGTCCATCGTGTGGCATCGTCTGTGGGCGCAGGGTTCCCTACCTCTCTGGCAGCTGATGCCCACTGCACCCGGTGGTGCAGTCGTTCCTTCGCAGAGCAGCGTCGCTCCACCCCAGAGCTGCCCGGCGTTGTGAAGAGCGGTCGGCAGGCCCGACGCGCGCCATTCGTGAACCTGCTCTGCAACCGCCTGCAAGCCCCTCGATGGCACGCGGCCTTTGCACCCACACCCCCATCCCGTTTCCCCTCCCTTCAATGCTGAACGCCCGCCTGCGGCCTCCTCCCTTGCCGCTCACACGTGAGCTGCTCTCTAGGGCTGCTGGTTCCACCAGCTGCAGCGAACTTCAAGAGCAAATCGCACCCCTTTCCTTCTTATCCCCTTCATTCTCAGGCAGTCCCTGAGCTCACAGATCCCACCCAGCTGGGCCGCTCCCTGGTTTGGCTCCGCGCCGCCTTCCCCGGGCAGGACCCTGTGGCGCTGCTGCAGGTGAGGAGACGGTGCAGGGTTTGGGGCTCAGGGTTCAGGGTTCAACGGCCAGGGCAGGCCGGGCCTGCGTGCGGCGCCTGGAAGGTCCCTCGAGGCGAATGAGAGGCAGCCGGCGGCGTCGCCATCCACGTCGGCCGAGGCGAGCACTCTGCCGCCAGCACCGCCTGCCATTCGCAGCGTCCACAGGCGCCGCAGCGTCGGAGCAGCGTCGGAGCAGGGCAGCGGCAAACAGCTCTTGCGGCCGGTCAGCCGCTGCTCTGATTGTCAACGGCCAGCGATGCTTGCATGCAGCTGCACGCGGTCGCGGCCCTGTGGAGGTGGGCGGCTGACTCTGCGGCAATGGCCACCCCTTGCGCAGGAGAACCCCTTGATCCTCCGCAACATCGGAGAGTCCAATGTCGAGGACAGCGCGGTAAGCAGGGGTTTCAAACGAGAGGACGGCGAGGCGCCTCCTGGGTACCGCGGGGGGATGGCCAGCCGAGGTGGAGGGGAAGGGCCGGAGGGGAGCAGTCGAGCTGGTCCCCCTGAGCAGCGCTGAGCCACCACCAGGCAGCGCGCCCGACTCAGAGAGAGGCGCCGCGCGCCGCAGGAGTCGGGCCTGTTCACGTGAACTTGGGCCGCTGCTGTGGTCTCTCCGTTTGGAGGCGCCCCTCGCCCGCGTGACTATGAGGCGCGTCGTCCTTCTCGCACGGCCGCAGCCCGCACCCTGCCACCGCAGCCGCCCCTCCCCTGTCGATTCGACCCTGCGCTTTGCAAGTTGTACCCCCCTTAGAATGCATCGATCTTGCCCGCACAACTCATTGCCGCCCCTTGCACTCACAACTCATCGCCGCCACCGCGACGTGGGGCCGCTGCGTGATGTCACCGCCGCGCGTCATCGCCGCGCAGGAGTACGGGGAGATGACGACAAAAGATTGACTCGCGGTGGAGCTGGAGGTCGCCCTCCAGTTCCAAGCTGACCTGTCACGCGCCGCCGGCCTGCCCGCCGGCCAGCGCCTCCCAAGCCCGCTCGAGCGCGGCGAAATCCCTTCAACTTCAGGATCTGATGTTGAAGATCTCGGACCCTAACACAAGGCCTCAAAGCCTCGGACCTGCCGGGCATTTGCCTGGCCGATCAGTTTAATTGCAGGTGCAGGGCGTTGCCTGTCACTTCCTTCGCCCCGCTGTATGTGCTTGGCTCGCTGCCGACCATTGTTGGGCAGCACGCAATTTTGCATACTCGTTGACCAGCATTCCGCCAATGTTCCTCCTGCATTGTGATGTACATACGGGCCCGTGCCCTGAGCTGACCGCGCCATACTTGCTCCCGCCCCTTGGACCCGCGAGTGTAAATCGTGTGAGTAGCAAGGCCCTGGAAACGGTTGCAGGAGGCGCGCCTCGCTCGACTCACTTGCAATTGTTTACTTGTCCCTGTGAAGGCTGCATGCGGCATGGTGCAAAATGCAACAACAACGGCAAAGGTGCAGCCACAAGGGTTGAATCGGCCGTGCAGGGAGGGGACGTCCCCACGAATACAAGAATCTCTGTTCTGCAAGGCGAATGGCAGCAGGCAGCATTGGTAGGCGCGGATGCGCACACAGCAACCAACCAATAGATGACAAGGAGGGTTTCAAATCCGAGGGTCGTTGCTGCATTGCCTGCAAAGAAACCTGGACAAAAACAACAATCATGACCTATCCACAACAGGCGCAACACCCATCCGTTTGACCTGCAGGAGCGTCACAAAACGCCCTGCTGCACGCGCACGTCACCCACGCCTGCTTGTAACATTTCGATGGTCAAACGGTCAAAACCAGTCAAACACGCCGGATGGGGTCGATCAAATCAAGCGTCCCAGTTAAACTTGCACTTGGCGATTTCTGAACTCCCTGAGAACTTCTTTTTGACGTCGTCCGCGCTCAAAGGGTCCTGCACCGCAAGCCGCTTGTAGACGCCCGTTGCAAACTCGGCAGCTGCCTTGCAGCCGCTCGTCTGGATGGTCTTTGATATGGCTGTGACGATGTCATCAAGCAGGCCTGACGCGTCTCCTACGTAAGGGTGCACGATACAAGGGGGCTGCGTGGGGCGGCAACTTCCACAGGACGTATGTATCGCAGAGGTGAAAACCGTGTGCTTTTGAAGCCAAACCCTTGCAGATGTGTACGTTTGTCAGCAACCCAAATGCCCGCCCCTAGGGCCTGCACCTTGGAAAATTGTGATATCCAGTGTGTAAGCATTTCAGGGAACGCTCCTTCCCTCAGAACCCCCCCCCCCCCTGCCCCCTGCACTTTGACCCTGCAGAGAGGAAAAGCGCACCCTGCACACCGACGACCTCCGCCATAGCGCTGGTGAAGGCGTTGGCCAGCTGGCCGCTGGTGCCAGCCTGGCGGGCCTTGGGGATGGCCTGCTTGTATATCGATATGATGTTCGCCTTGTCAGCGATTCCTGAGAGCGGTTGGTCGATAATCCACCAGTGCAACAGTGAGCTTAAAGAAGGCCGAAATGGGCAGGTGTGAGTCAGGATGCAGCAGGCATACGGCAGGCTTCAGCAGCATGAGGCGTGGTGGGCCGTGTATCTTGGCAGGGGGTGGAGGCCACGGCTTGGAATGAATGGGCCACGTGGTCATAAATGGTGGGCTTTGAAGGAGGCTTGCCTCATCGGCCTTGCTCAATCGCATGCACGGCCGTCTGCTGTGGCAGACGCGCCGCAATGCGTACGTGCTTGCACTCGCACCCGACAGTGACACCGAGGTGACTGCGCTCGCAAAGCTGCACCCGTCCTTGGCGGCGGCGGTCACCAGCGCGTACGCCGCCGCGTCCAGCTGTGTCTCCGTCGCCAGCCCGCACGACGACGCGCTGATGAGAGAGACTGACACGGCGCTCGCGTTGCGCATGTAGCCGCTGCACGGGCTGGAGGGGGGCGGCTGGTTGAACACTACGCTAGTGGCGAGCTTGAGCAGGCGGCGCGTCCAGCAGCCGCGGCCCTTGACCTGTTTGAGCATTGCGGGCGGTGTGATTTCTGGGGTGGCAGACGTGTGCGGCTCGATGTCGGCGGGGCTCTTGTTGCGGTGTGTTCGAGCTGTCTCGGGCGCTCTTCAATTTCAAGAGAAACATTCCAATGTGCACCGAGAACCTGCTAAATCAGGGAAAGGATGGGCGCTGCCCTCAACCCAGGCGCCGGCCCCACAGGCTGTCGTTTCGCGTCCAGCCGGTGCACGCACGACTGCATAAGCCAGGAGCTTGGCGCCAGCAGCCGCGTCGACGGACCTCAGGGACTTGTACATCTCTGAGGCGGAGGGTTTCAGGCGTGAAGTGTGATGCATCAAGCGCTGTGAAATTCACCGCCCGGGTTAGGGGCGTGGACGACGGTCCACAATGCCATGTCCGCAAGCAACCAAGGGAACGCCAGCCTGCAACCACGACCGGCCAGCTGCAGAGGCCCCCTGACGCCTCGCCCGTTTGGCCGACGTGCAGCCTCTCAGCCCTGTTGCGCACCGAACGACGTCATGCCCGCCAGGCCGCAGTGCCCCCCATCGGCCAGGTCATTAAAGGAAGTTATGGCCTCGGTGATCATCGCGATCTTCCCGTCGCCGCTCATTGAGCGAATAGCCGCGCCGACGGCCGAGGCAACCGCCTTGGCCTTCTGGCTGCTGTCCGCGATTGAGAAGGTCTGGGTTAGCGCATCCGCCATCTGGCCTTTGGCGTTGTCGGCGCCTGGCGGAGCCAAGGAGTGGCGGTATTGGCGGCGGGGCGCAGTACATTTCTTGCTTGCACCAGTCAGGAAAGCGAGCCGCCACCTGCGGCCGCATGCTCTGGCAGTTTTCCCCAGACGACAGTCGGCCAATTCTATAATCAGTATGCCGTCCCGTCTAGCTGCAATTGGCGTTACCCAACCGCTTCTCCGAAACACCGCCCACTGCGCACCCCATAGCCAGCAACACCCTACTTCGTTTCGCACCGGTAATCGTCGCCGCGCCTACAGACAGGCCCGCTGTGAACGCCTCGGTGTCTCCGCTAGCTGCAGCTCCCACCATCGCACGCGCCGCCCCCTCCAGGTCACCGGTGCATCCAATGAACGCCACCATCGACACCGCCAGCGCCGCTGCACTGCGCTGCTTCGCCGGCAGGCCCGGGCAAGTGCTTGGGCACGCTGCGCATGTGATCAGACATTTATTTCACATCAGTTCAGTTGCATATGTTACTGGTTGCGATGCCGATGCACACGCGTCGAGCAGCCCGCTCCCTCGCGCCCCCAGAGAAAGATCCGCGTCACTCACCCCCCGTATTTCCTGATTTGACATCTTCGGCAACGCTAACGCGTGCTAGTGCAACCAGACAGAGGAGCGCGTAGGCCCAGCGGGGCGCCATCCTGACGCGAGCACGCGTCGCGATGTTACAATCGCGAAACGTTACAATTTGAAAGCTTATCACTCAGGTAGAGATCACGATCATCATGAGACAGGGCCGAGAAGCTGGGAGGTTTCAGCAGCTCCGCAGCACTCGCCTCTCACGCATCTTCACCCGTGCTCGAGGACCAAGCTCGCCGCAGTAACCCGACAAAACTTTGTTTGAGACTATCTCTAGTCGCCTATCTGTGCAAAAACCACGTACGGTCATCAGCGTCAGGACACCCTTCCCATGCAGCCGCCGCGTACGGGCATCTGAAGGCGGCCACGCCGCGACATCTAGGCCGCAATGATGGGTACACGGGCGATGTCACTTGGCGTCCTGGTGGTGGCGCTGTTGTCTGCGGCGTCGGCGGTGGACCCAGGGGACATCAGCACCTGCTCATCGACGAGTGAGCGCCGCCGCGCCTCGCGCCCGCTGCGGCCGCGCTGGGCGCTGACCATGCGCGTGCGGCGGCTGCAATACAAGGCAGCCCCATCACCAACCCGGGTCGCAGCACACCTGCACGCCCCGCCTGCATCACGGCAACCTCGACGCCCGCACAAAAAAATGGGTAGCTCGCCCGGCTTTGCCTCATCCCCGCCACCCGTGACTCAGCAAGGGCTCACGCCCCAAATCCCCTCGCCCGTCGCCGCTCCTCGCCGCCTCGTCAACTTACAGACGGCACCCAGGTGCCGCACATCAACAGCGCGAGGACCTGCTCGTCGGTCTCCATCATATCCACGAGCGCCAAGGGCTTCTCCGCCGCCTTCAGCTCGAGCAAAACTGACGTCCTCGTATCAGCCGCCGGCGCCTGCGGCGACGCCGTCGCCGACGGCGTCGGCGCGATCTGCCACGGGCTCGACCCGGGCGCCGCCATCGTCGGCGCCGCCCAAATCTGCGCCAACGCGCTGGCCGCAGTGTACAGCCACACAGCATCCGGCGCGGTCACGGCGCCGTCCCTCAAGGCCTTGTTGGACCCCAAGACGTTCACCAGCCTCGCGCCCACAAAAGAGGGTTACTACCAGGCCTGCACGAGCAGCTGCAACAACGCTCAGTCCGCCGCCGAGGCGCTCGCGCAGGGCGCCGCGTGCGGCGCGACCGCCGCGACCGACGGCTGCGCGGCGGTCACTGCGGAGGTCCGGTCGACGGTGTTCGCGCGCACCTTTGCGCGCGTCGCGACCGACGGCTGGTCAAAGTCGTGCGCGCGCGGCTCGTCCGCCGCGCTGACGGGGACGACCACCATGGCGGCGTCCGCGGCCGCGTCGTTTGCCGGCGCAATCTCGCGCGTCGCGGCGAAGGCGTGCGCCTCCTGCCCGTCCTGCCGCTGCTCGCCGCTGCCCTCGCTCCCCGGCCTGAACTTCGCCGGCCGCTGGTCGGACGCGTTCTCGACGTTCGCCGCCGGCAAGGTCGGCGTCGCGCGCGCGCTCGCCGGCGCGAGCAGCGCGCTCTGCGCCAACGGCACCAAGGCGACGGCAAACGGCGAGGCGTCGGGGCTGATGCTGGCGGTCGCCGAGATGGTGGGCGGCGCGGTGGGCAGCACCAAGGCGATGGCGTTCAAGCTCGGCGCGGGCGCGACGGCCTGCAGCGGGGCCAACCTGCAGACCGAGCTTGAGGTGGGCGGCGCGGGCGGGGTGTGTATTTTGTGCACAGAAGAGAGACACGGGCGGCAAGCTGCTGCCAATGGTCTGACCCAGACAGTCTGGGGGCTGCCATGACTGGATGGACTACAGCGCATTTGCGCATCGCCCCTTCAAATCCTCGACCTCTTGGGGGTCAGCACAGGACGCCACGGAATCAGATTTGAATCTTTCTTTCAAGTGGCCCAACCATGATGCTCTATCCCAATCTCACTCAATCTTCCAACAAACACACGTCACCCACAGGCTATGAAGGAGGCCAGCAGCAAGGTAATCGCCGACGCCGGCGCCACCGTCTTCGGCGGCTGGTGCCCCAAAGCAGCCGCCAAGCTCTCCAACGTCCGCGTCCTCACGCGTGACGTCATCTCCAAGGCGACCAGCAAGTCCGCCGCGGTCTGCGGCGGCGAGCAGCGGCCGAGCTTCTTCGGTTCGTTGCTGCCGCACCCCTTCGGCCAGCCCAAAGACGTGTCTCAGAGGAGCGTCGTCGTGGATCTGCTGACGTCGCACGCGCCCCTCAGGGAGAGGTTCACGGAGACGCTGACGGAGGCGAAAAAGTGCGGCTGCCCGCCGTCGCTGTGCCTCTTCTGCAAAGCCGCCGACTCGGTGGGCAAGGTCGCGCCGCCGCCCGCGGCGAGGGAGAAGTCGCAGCGCGTCCAGGCTCCGAAGCAGCAGGCGGCTCCTTAGTGAGGGGCGCCCGCTGTCACAGCGGCGCCTTCGGCGCGCGTGTGCGTGCAGCAGCCGGGGTGTTTCTTGGCAGGGGCAGGATCTGTTTGAGGGACTATTGGCCACCGCTTTGGGCTTTGCAGTCAACTCCCAAGTCGAGACTTGTTTGTGGTACGCTTCTCAACAGTTCCTAGCAGGATCCCAGGTCACTCATCATGAGGTTGTTGCCAACGTTTGCCATGGGTCGCAACCCTCCCTCCGCCAATCCAAGCACTCGTATGCCGTTCACAAAACTGCTCGCCAGCGTTCCCGCACGGACCGCCACCTGCTCCGCACGCCCCCAGATTCCCGATGCCCGCACCACGCTTCTTGCTGCCAATCTCCGGGTCTCCAGCGCACGGCAGGTCCCATGCTCAGGCTGCCGCACCCAGCAGCCGCTGTAGACCTTTTGCTAAAGCTCATCCCCTTATGGGTTTGCTGACGTTGATGCGAGCGGCGCCATCTGCCCTTGCCATTTTCTCCTTGCTTTCGACGGCGCGTGCGCTTCACGCACCCGCCGCCACTGCTTGCGTGGGCCATCCCTTGAGGGCTGTCAATTTTGTGGCCCCGGTTGCATACGACAAACCTAAACCCCTTGTACCACAGATTTAGTTAGTGGCCCCTTTGCCGCCAACGGCGGGCGGCCCTTTGCCGCATATCTTTGAACCCAGAGCTACTCCTGCGCTGGAGCCTGAGGACGGCAGGCGGCTGTGGTTAGCAGTGAGCGTCGGGTCGTTTTTCTCGTGCGCGGGGCAGGGGCGCCCGGCGGGCGTGTGCATGCGATTGATGCCAGTCATGTGTAACCACCTGTTGACACAAACCCAACAGTCCTGCTGGTCACCAGTCTGGGGATCGCAACGAGGACCTTAAAACCATGGTTGACATAGGAGATCTGGGGCATTGGACCAGGTCGGCCTCCTGTGCGTTGTGTGTTGCAGATGGATGACCGCAGCAGCCGCAATCCAACCGTGGCCGTGTATTAAAAGGGTATGGCAAGGCCGACATTCACTTACTCTAACTGGATTATCTTACATGTTATTTTGCTGGCTCAGGTACCAGCAAGTTGCAAAGTGTGATCATCATTACGTGGTTCAGTGGTGGCAGCTGCTGCGCCAAATGACTAGCTAGCAGCAGCAGCAGCAGCAGCAGCAGCGGTGTCGCTGCCCTTGCACAGGCGGCCGAAACAGAGGCCTGGCAGCGGCTTACGCACCATTAATAAGATTTATTACAAAGTTACCTGTGGTTTAACGCCCACGCAGTTGACAATCGCGCTGCTTGATCGGATCGGTTTGCTTGAGGTACGGAGCGCGGGGAAGAGAAACCCGCTTACCTAGCGCGTGAGCCCGTAGTAATTCGCACATGAGAGGCGTTATAGCAATGCGGCCAGACGTGAGGGTCGCCGCCGTGGCGCTGCTGCTGCTGGTCGCATCGGCGGAGGCGGCGTGGTCGCCGCTATCAATTTTCACAAGCAGAGTGTCAGGGAAATTTGACAAGCGCAGCGTCTCAGACTCGGCAAATGCGTGCTCAAACACAAGTGCGTGGCGCGAGCGCCGTCATTGGGCCGGGTGCCCATGGCGGCCTGCGTGTGCACATGCGAGCGTACGGGGCGCGAATGCAAGCAAGCGGCGTGCAGATGCCTGCACAAAATAGCCCAGGACGGTTGTGCCCCACATACAAGCTTACCTGCAGCCCCCTCCTGCGTATCGTGGCATTGTGAACGCCAGCCGCCTCATCGATCCTGCAGCCGGCGGCTGAACGGCGCAGCCGACAGCTGTAGGCCCCCAACCCTGCCTACATCGCAAACGTCCCACCATTCCTCCCCCACTGGCTCGCACATGCTAACTCGCAACTGTCGCCCCTTGGAACCCCAGATCTGTACACCAAGCCCTCGATCGCCAAGATCCAGGTCTGCAGCCGCTCCGTCGCCGTCTCCCGCAACGGCGGCGGCCCCGCGAGCAGCAGCACCAAGAGCAGCTTCCACCTGCCTCAAGTGGCAAGCACTGCCTGCGCCGAGGCGGTGACAGACGGAGTCAAGGCGCTCTGCGTCGGCGGCGACCCAATCGCCACCATCTCCTCGATGGCCTCGACCTGCGCCTCAGCTATCGCAGAGCTGCAGGCGTCCGTAATCAGCGGCGCCGAGGTCAAGGCGGGCAGCGTGTTCCCGCTGGCCAACTTCACGAAGAGCGCCTACACCACCGCCTGCACCTCGGGCTGCGCGACCGGCCAGGTCTCCGCCGAGGCCGTCGCGCAGGCGAGCGCGTGCGCGTTCTCCACTCAGCTGCGCGGCTGCAACGCAGTCAAGAGCATTCTGTCGGAGCAGGCGTACTCGACCGCGTTCGTGCAGACCACCGCGAAGGCCTGGTCCAACGCGTGCGCCCTGGGGCTCGGCAAGGCCCATGGCGAGGGCGAGGCGCTGGCAAAGACGCTGGTGTCTGTTCTCTCGCGCGCCTTTGGGGACGTCGTCGCCAAGGCGTGCAGCGAGTGCGACTCCTGCAAGTGCAAGTCGCTGCCCTCGGGTCTGGCCCTCGACAAGCTCAAGGGCGCGTCCGACACCGCGGCCACCGCGGCGGACGGCCGCTTCACGCTGGCGCACGCGTTTGGGAACTCGGTCGCGACGTACTGCGGCAGTGACAAGACGCCACGCGCGCTGAAGACGAGCGTGGACACGACGGTCAGCACGCTGGCGACGATGATCGCGGACGTGTACGCCAAGACCAGCGGCAGCAGCACGGCGACGGGCCAGTCGCTGGCGTGCTCTGGTGGCAGCGTGTCCACAGAGATCCAGGTGGGGGCCGGGGTTGGGTGGGGCCAAAGGCGCGCACTTCCTCATTTTGAGGGTGCAAACGTCTGATTCAGGGCAGGCCAGGACACACTCTTGGTGCAGCTTGATACGCGCTTTGAATTGCACAGTCACGGCAGCCGCTCGGGAGCTCATACCCTGTGGCCTTCGGACCCACCATCCAATGCACACCTGCACAGCTGGTGCGGTAATTATCCACAACAGCCAAGCAGCTTCGGCAGTGCGTGTGTTTGCAAGTTTGACTACCGCCTCGAATGAAACTCTGATACCACACCGAACCCTGATACCACACCAAACCCTGATGCCACACCACACCTTGTGCTCTGCAGGCGACCAAGACCGCGATCGTCACTGCCGTCGCCGACGCCAACAGCGTCGTCTTCGCGCACCGCTGCGCTTCTGCATACGCCAAGCTCGACGGAATGGTCAACCTGCTGAAGGACTCGCTGGAGGACACGTTTGATTCGATTTCGAACGCGTGCGCCAACGGCGTGACCGGCAAGCCGTCGGTCAACGCGCAGGACGTTGTGAAGAAGGCGCTCGAGTCAAACCAGCCGATCACCGCCGCGATCGGCGGCGCGGTGCAGGACGCGGTAAACTGCGGCTGCAACCCGGGGACGTGCATCTGGTGCGCGCCTGAGAGGAGCGGCCGCAACGCGAGCCTGGCGTACGACTTTGGGCGGCCGGGCGCCAAAGGCAACACGAGCACCCCCAAGACACTGCAAGACATCACCAAGATGCTCACAGGCCTCCTCTCCCACTGAGAGGCATGCTGTTGCGCCGCGCGCTCGCACCTGGCCGCGAGGAGCAGGGGCGGTCGCAGTGCACGCGCCCGATTGAGTGGTGATGTGACGCAAACCTTGGATTGCAGTCTTCCATTGCTGGTTTCGTTTCTTTCGTATCCAGACAAGCTGTTTTTTGAAGTGTCAATGGCCCGGCTGCGTCGCGCTGGGCTTTTGGCCGATCAGTTTTGTTACTGCTCTGCCCCTTGGGGCTACACAAAGCCCTACTGGTGGGCGACGCACTTCCACAACCTGTGGTGTTGTGGGTTCATTGCAGGTAAAAGGCATTGATCCATGTTCGGCTCGGCTGATAATGAAAGTGGATGTACTAGCTGAACAAAATGCAATGCAATGCAGGGCATCCATGGGTGCGCTGGTTGGGTGTCGCAGAGGCTGAGAGGAGGGATTTGCAGTGCCGCAGCACGCACGCTTGAGCTGCTCGATTGCCTGCCAATTGCGCGTACTGATAACCTGCAGACTGATTGACGACCAAAAGGCCCCGCTATGAGACATTGAAACAACAAATGTGCATCGTGGTTGTGTCGTGCGTCCACTGCAAGGGGCGCTAGTCGCAGTCGAAACCGCCCACAAGCAGCACATCACTTTCGGCGGCATGCTATGCGCCCGTGAAGCAAGCCAAACATGAAGCACACAGAAAATTAAATGTAAATTTTTCGTCGCAAAGATGGCTTCTTTGGTAATCTGGTTGCTAGCAGCGCTCTTATTTTGCAGGGGGGGTACCGCGACTACCATCGCGGGCAGGCACGCACGCGGACTGCTGCAGGACTCTAATGGTGCGTAAGGGTTTAATTGCGCAGTTACATGACGGCACACGGAGAAGAGGCCCGACAGGGCAGCAAGGGCAGGCACGCAGGGGGGCCTGCGTCCTCCTGGTGGCAGTGCAGCAGCTGAGGCAGCATTCTGTGTGCGGCCATGTCAACACTATCACATGGTGGCCAAGACGGGATGCCATACAGATCCTTGCACTTGGAGCGTATGCAGTCACAGTGCGTCACGTGCGCGCATGCGCGCACGACGCGCACGCACCCAGGACACCAACAGATGCTTGCACATACCAGGCACGCCAACAGATGCATCACTGTCACACCTCCACAACCGCGCGTCGTGTTGCATCGCGACATGCCACCATCTTGCAGGCGCCGCCGGGGCGCAGCAATCCATGGCGGCGGCCCTGAGCGTCGCCGCCCAGGCCTACTGCACGCCGGGCTCCCTCGTGCTCTCAGGTAGCATCGACAACAGCCCCAGCAGCGGCGTGTACGCGTTCGGCGAGCGCCTAGTCGCCGGTATGCTGCTCGACATCTGGAACGCCGCCATGGCGCAGCGGAGCACGGGCGCGGCGGCGACCGCCCCCGACATCCGCGGACTGCCGTGCGAGGCGCTGCGCAACGTCAGCCGCGTCCTGGAGGCCGCGCAGTCCGCGGCCGAGACGCTGCCCGCGGCGGTCCGGTCCGCGTTCGGGACGCCGGGCCCGACGTTCTGCCCGGCGGCGGCGGCCGCTTACCAGTCAAACGGGCTGGGGCCCTTTGAGGTTGCAATCGTGATGATGCAGGCCGCCTACGCCGCGTGCCCCGCCGCCGCGCTGTCGCAGCGCTTCAGCGGCGCGGCCGACCACGAGGCGATGCTCGGCGTGCTGATGGCCGGGCCGCGGCTGTCGGGCGCGGTGCGCAAGACGCTCGCCGCGGTGATCTCAGAGCCTTGCAGCTGCTGGCGGCAGAGGGCGCCCGCCGACGCCGCGATCGTCGCGGTCTCGCCTGTGCAGCCTGCGCCGCAGTCGCTGCTCGGCGAGTGGCCCGTGCTGCTGCCGCAGCAGCAGCAGCAGCCGCAGGGGCAGCCGCCGCAGGCGGTGGTGCCGCCCCTGCAGCAAGCTGGTGTGATTGCGGTTGCGTCGGTGCCCGAGTCGGCACTGGCCGTGGGGCTGCCGCAGGGCCGCGTAGAGTCGGGCGTGACCTCGGGGGTCCTCTTTACTGGGCTGTCATCAAGCCCCAAACCCGCCGCAATCGAGCTGCCCGTTGCAGCTTTCACCGCGCCCCCCGCGACCAACCTGGACTCTTGGGGCGCGCCGGCGTCTTGGGGCGCGGCGCCCGCGGCGGCGGCGGCGCCGTCCGTGCAGCAGCCGGGCGCCGCCGTTCGAGAGGACGGGCCCCACCCCGCTCTGTCGGCGATTTCAGCGATCGCGTCGGCGACGGAGCCCAGTTGGTATTCGACAGACCAGTTTGTCCTGCAGGGCGCCTCGCATTGGGACGTGAAGCAGATGGAGCAGTCGCACCAAGGCGGCCCGCAGTCAGGCGCGGCGCCGGCCGGCAGCGGCGGCGGCGTGGCCGCGGCGACGGTCAACGTTCTCAGCGTGGCGCCGGCGACCGCATCTTCGGTTGAAGACGTTGATTTTCAGACGCGGGTGGGTGGAGGACTCGCCCTGGCTTCCACAGCACAACCATTTTGGGCTTCTGTGTACCCCCCACATGCCCACATGCCCCCACCACAACTGTGGCTGCTCTGTAGGTGCCGGCAGGCTGCCAGGTTTTCAAAGCGGCTGACTTTGGGTATCCACATCGGCTTACTCCAGACCCATCCCTCTGCCAACCTCTCACAGCACACACCCCACATGGCCTCTTCCCCACCCGCCGCCCCTCCTACACCGCAGCTGTCCGCGCCAGCCTCCCGCAGCTCCCGCGCCTCCCAGCGCGCGGCGCCATCTGCCTCCCCGTCGGCCGCGCCGCCCCATCAAGTCAACAGCGCCCCGCTCATACCCTCCGGCCTCGCCTTCACGGCGTCCCCCGGCCAATCCTTCAACCTGACGGGCGTGGCCGACCCCGACGGCGACGCGGTTTCGCTGACCTGGACGCTCACGCACGATGAAACGGGCAAGGCGTTCGAGGGCGCCGGGCCGCTCGTTGCTGTCGACGGCGGCGCGCCCAAGGGCGTGTATCAGCTCATGATCAAGGCGGAGGACGCGTCCGGCGGCGTGGCGGAGCAGGTGGCGACCGTGGAAGTCCAGGAGTCACAGCCGTCGCCGTCGCCGTCGCCGCCACCGTCGCCGTCGCCATCGCCGTCGCTGTCGCCGCCACTGTCGCCGTCGCCATCACCTGCGCCTGCGCCTGCGCTGGCCCCGGCCGTGCCGTCGACGGCTGTGCCGGCTGCGAGCGCTAAGGTCGGCGCGTTGGCGCGGCTGTTTGGCCGTTCGGCGGCGACAGCGGTCAAGCCAGGGACGAGACCAGCGGTAAAGCCGGGAGCCAAGCTTGCGAACAAGCCGGGAACCCAGCAGGAGCGGGGCGCCAAGGCCTCTAACAGGACAGCCGCAGCGTTGCCAGCGAAAGCTGCCGCCAAGGGGCCCGCCGCTGCCGCCCACAAGCCGGCGGCCAACAGCACCTCCAAGCCGGCAGTCAAGCCGGCAGTCAAGCCGGCAGTCAAGCCGGCGCCCAAGCCGGTAGCCGGCGCAAAACCTGCCGCCCCGAAGCCGGCCGCGATCAAGCCGGCGTACAAGCCGGCTCCTGGGGCCAACCATGTGGCCGCCAAGCCGCCGGCCGCCAAGCCGGGGTCCACCGTGTTAGCTGGGTCCAAGCTGGCCCCAAAGCCCAGCAACAAGACCACACCTGGCAGCGGGCCAAGGGATGGGTCGCCAAGGGCCGAAGCCACGGTGTTCCTACCCAGGGCCAAGGCTGCGGGAAAGCCCGCGCCCAAGCCTGCGGTTGCCACCGCAGAGGCCGGAGTGGCCGCGAAGCCCGCGCCGTCGCCCCGGCCGATCCAGCCGGCTGCCCCCAAAAGCGCCACCGGTGAAACGAAGCGGCCCGTGCCTGCGCCAAAGCCAGGCACCACGCCAGGCGCCAAGCCGCTGGTCAATGCTTCGCCCAAGCGTTCCGCCAAGCCGTCACCCAGGCCGGCAGCAAAGCCAGCGGCGCCCAGGCCTGCCTCATCCCCGAGGGTCGCACCTGCCAAGCCAGCTGCCTCGCCGAAGCCGGCGGCAGCCTCCGTGCGGGCGCCCTCGCCGCGGCCGGCCCCCAAAGCTGCACCCAAGCCAGCGCCCATGCGGCAGGAGGCAGGCGCTGCGCGAGCGCAGAAGCGTGCCGGCGTGGCGCAGCAGATGGCGGCTCACCCGCCCGACAATGGCTGGAGCAATTGGATGTCCTTTGGTCGACACTGACAGATACCGTTTTTGATTTGCTATGTCCTCTCTTTTGGCTTTCTGTGGGTACCACGCAACGACCGCGCACCCTTGATCAAGTACCTTGTGCAAAGTGTGGGGGGGATTCCTTGATTTTGACTTTGCACCAGCGACGGCCGTTTTCAATGGTGTGCACATGGCGCCACAGATTGGACATTGCGGTCCTGAATTTTCTAATGATCGCTCATCGACTCGCACTTTTGCACGTTGGTTATTCGACCTGGGGGCGGCTGAGCGAAACTGCCGTGCACGCGAAACGCCGCACGGGTCACCAGAAAGCATGGGTGCGTGTGTCGAATCCCCCTCTATGAATTTTACTGTACGATTTGTCGTATTCTTGATCAACCAACTGCGCAATAGTCTGGCACGCGTCCCAGCTTCCACAAACGCTGACCCTTCGCTCCTGGGGACAGCTGTGAGAAAGTAACCAAGTACAATCTGATGTATTTGTAAGGTGTCTTGATCAGAGGACCCTCGCTGCGCACTGAGCACGGCGCACCAAAAAAAAAACGCACCACAGCCCCTGGGCGACGAGCAACTATGGGGAAAGCTTCGGTGGATAGCCATCAAACACGGCTACCATGGACACCGGAGGTGCGGGATGATTGATGGAGCCCGCGCATTGATCCCCGCGCAGTGCGCCTGAAAGGTCATGAAGCCGGCCCATCAAGGTCGCGATCGTGAACAATTTGTAGTTTACGCGGAATACAGTGGCTGCTGTCTGCGTTCGCCTCCGCACCGCTGCTGCCGCTTGCTGAGCAGCAAGTGCAGCGACGACAGCACAGCGCAGCACGGCGCGGCAGCTCACATGCCCTTACCGCACGTGCAAATACGCAGGAGGACGCAATCCTGATCCAGATGGTTGAGAAGATAGGCGAGAAGCGCTGGCCGCTCATCGCCGCCAAGCTGCCCGGCCGCACCGGGAAGGGGTGCAGCCACCGCTGGCGCACCTACCTGCGGCCGGATGTGAAGCACCCCCACCTCGAGCCGTTCACTGAGTGGGAGGCCGCGGTCATCGTGCAAGGGCAGAAGGAGCACGCGAACAACTGGCTGTGTGAGCCGCGGGGGCGGGAGGGGCCCCGGGACGTCCCCGCCTGTGGCGGCGACAGCAAACACCAAGCGGAACGCCTGACCCGGGGTTGCTTGCATCGCCCAGCCCAGCCCGCCCCATAAGTACAAACTGACAGACCGTTCTAACCGCTACTGCTTGACCCCCTGGCCCCCCACAGACATCGCCAAGCTGCTGCTGCCCGGACGCAGCAACACGGCCGTCAAGAACTATTGGCACTGCCGTCTCAAGGCCGGCGTGGGCCTCAAATCCAACTCGTGAGCGACCCCTGCCTCTCCTGCACCACCCATGCGCCCGCGTGCAGCGCTTTGCGGCAAATCCAGGCTGCATGTTCCTGCGTGTCTGCCGCGCCAGCAGAGTATCTTGGAACCGCCCCGCCTGCAATGGCCACAGGACTCCATACACCTCTCAGCAGGGGCACACGAGCCAACTACCCGTCTCGCAAATTCCCGGCACCTTCCCCGCAGCTTCCTGCAGAAGGCCCTGGGCCTGGACCAGCTGCTCAACGATGTCCCCCAGGCCATGCGCACGTTCCCCATCGCGCAGCCGCCATTCCCATCCGTCGCACCCTCCAAAGTGGTGGGCGGGCATCGCCATGCGCGCGCCCCGGCCTGCGCCCCCCGCTGCCCCATCCCTGAGTCTTGAACCATTGCTTTTGCTCGCACCATCACTGAAACACCCGTCTCATGCTGGCTCATGCTGGCTCATGCAAGGCGCCACGCGCACACCCTTTCCGCACCCCCTGCCAAAACACGATCTTGCAGCGGGCCCTCCGTCAAACCTCCACACCCCGCCCCACAACCCACCCGTCTGCAGATGGCCCAGCGCATTGACCCCAAAACCGGCCTGGCGCTACCCAGTGGCCCCCTGGCAAACAAAGGGTCCGGCACGTTCCACATCAGCGTGGCGCAGGTCGGCAAGCCGATGACTGGGCCGCCCCCGGGCCTGGCGGGCACTGACCTGAAGGCGGCAGCTTCCCAGTACGTGCAGCGCCACCTCGCCTCCCTCGGCGCCGGCTGCGCGCCCTCGGCGCCTGCGCCTGCGGCGGGCGCGTCGCAGCTGCCAGCGCCCAGCGCGGGCGCTGGGCGGGCGGGCGGGCCTGCGCGCCTGAGCTCGGCGGACGCCCCGCTGATCCTGCCGCCTGGCGCACTTGCGGGCAGTGGCAGCGGCGGGGCAGGCGATGACAGCGGGCTAAGCGCGGCGGCGTGCCACGAGCAGCCACACTGCGGCGGGGACGGCGGCCTGGGTGGCATGGGCCCATGCATGGGGCTGCCGCTTGGCATGGGCATGGGCATGGGTGTGGGAGTCGATTTCTGCAACAGGCAGAGCTTGCCGCCCATGTTTGGCATCCCCGGGTTTGACATGAGCGGCGGCGGCCCAGGCGTGAAGGGGGCGCCGGAGTCCCCGCGCCCCTGCAGCAGCGGCGCCGCGGACGACACGGCCGCGCACAGCCACGGCCGGGCCGCCCGCGGCGGCGCGGCGGCGCAGCTGGGCGGCTGGGAGGGTGGCGAGGGGTATATGGGGGACGAGGAGTGCTGTGAAGAGGAGAGGATGAGCGAGGATTTGGAGGACATGCTGCAAAGCATGCAGGAAGACGAAGAGGCAGCGGGGGGCGCCGCCGGCGATCTGGACGCACGCGCCGGCGGCGGCGCCGCGCTGCTTGGCTTCATGGACGACAGCACAGCCGCGGCCGCGGCGGCGCTCGCGCGCTGCTCGGGCCCGGCCGGGTCGCGGCACTCTTATTCGTCTGCTGCGTCTGGGGTGCAGCTTGGCAGCGCCTGCGGCAGCCCTGCCGGGCCGGCAAGCGCCCCGATCAGCCCCTCACGCAGCCCTGGATCCTCGCCGCTGCTGCCGCAGCCGTTCTTTGCCGCCGGCGCAGGGCTGGGGCTGGGGCCGGCCGCGCCGCACCTCGGGCACGCGCCGGCGCACCACGTGCACCACCCGTCCCCGCTCAGCCGGGCGCGCGCGGTGTCGCCGTTTGCGGTCTGCCAAGGCGGCGGCGACGTGCTGGAGTATGGGCGCGTCGGCAGCTGCCCCTCGTTGGGCGCGGCCGCTGCCGAGGGAGACGGCTGCCATCAGCAGCCGCAGCTGCTGCATGGCGGCAGCAGGCTGCGGCACCTGCTGCCCGCGCGGCCAGCAAGTGCGTCGCCGTCGCTGGGGGCGCGCACTGAGAGCTGGGAGCGGGAAGTCGAGGCGGTTGGCGGCGGTGGCGGCAAAGCGCTGGAGCAGTTGGCCGGGCAGCAGCAGCAGCAGCAGCAGCAGCAGCAGCAGCAGCAGCAGCAGCAGCAGCAGCAGCAGCAGCAGCAGCAGGCCGCGCAGCAGCAGCAGCGGCAGCAGCAGCAGCAGCAGCAGCAGGAATGGCACCAGGACCTTGAGCAGCAGCAGCACCTGCACCGGCACCAGCAGCAGCAGCAGCAGCAGCAGCAGCAGCAGCAGCAGCAGCAGCAGCAGCAGCAGCAGCAGCAGCAGCACGTGATTGCACAGCGCCATGTCAGCGAGCACGGCCGCGTCTGCTCCTCGCCGGCCGCCCTCGACAGCGCCGGCGGCCCCGCCGCAGCGGCGCCCTCAGCCATCGCCCACAGCAGCGGCGGCGGCAGCAGCGGCGGGCACCTGGGCGTCGACCCCGGCTGCGAGCCGATCCACTTGCACCACCTCCGCATCCGCCTGGCGGGCGTGGCCGCCAGCGCAGCGCAGCAGGCTGACGAGGCGGCCAACGGCGCGACCCCCGTGGCAAGCGCGAGCCCAAATGTCGCGGGCCTGTGCATGCTGGGGCTTGGCACGCCGAGCGGCACGCCGCATCACGCGCAGCACGCGGCTCAGCGCCAGCAGCAGCTGGTGCCCGTGTCGGGCGGCGCGTTTGGCGGCGTGGCGGCCGCGGCAGCGCGCGCCTATGCAGGCGTGCCATCGGGCGTGCCATCGGGCGGGCCGCAGCTGTTCCCTCGCCAGGTCAGCCTGGGGGTGCAGGACTCGCTGCCCTTTGAGTGGGAGCCGTTTGGCGGGGCTGCGTCCATGGCGCGGCACAGCAATGACGACGGCGGTGCGTTTGAGGCGCTCCTGCGGTGATCGCCCGCGTTTCCCCCAGCTTTGGGGCGAGCCCCTGGGGTGTGTGGCCATGTCGGGACCAGGGCAGCAGCATGCAGCGCAGCTTGGTTGGTGCAATAACCAATACCCACATATTTCCTCAGGCACTGATCAGCCGCCACCTCAATACAGGCGTTTTGCGTGTGAGTGGGGTTTGCGCTGGTTGCGCGGCGTGGCCGAGTCAGCCTGTTGCACGCTGACTGCGCGGAGGGGTCGGGCCGATACCTTTGGGGGATGGCACACACGATCTTGGGCTGGAAAAGCCCCTATACTATCCGTCATATTCAAGCTGCCATCTTATTCCTCCTGCATGAGTCAACGCGCTTTCGTCGTCGGTTCAATTACGTTTCGGGATGCGAGCTCGGCACCGTCCATGGATCGCTGAAAGGATGCACTCTTGCCTGGGTGCTGCGGTCATAATGGGCGGTTCGGCCGCATTACCTACACACAGCAGAACTGAAGCCCTTCAAATCATGCGTTTGGTCTGGCCTTGCACTGATGCCTCACAAAAACCACCCACCATGGTCAGATCTGCTGGGCACGGGTTGGTGACCTGGCGTGCCCGTTGGGAGAGCAGCGCCTTTTGCGGACTGATGTCACTGCGTCCTTGCAAAACCATGCAGTGGCCTGATGTGGAACTCCTACATGTAATACATGCACACAAGCAATTCAGCACACCAGGCACGGCTGATACGGGCACCACAGCGCTCACGTGCCCTCCAGTCCCGGAGTGCGGGCGGAGCAAACAGAATGTGTATAGGGCATGATATGCGTGCGTGCAGCAGCGTTAACGAAACAGCAGAATTGTGACAGGAAATTGTAGCTGCGCATGTGACCTTTCTTGCTGTGCAGACAAGGGCTGGAGTGGCTCGCTGGGCGCAATGCCACAGCGCAATGATGACGGAGCCTTGCCGTGCGCTGCAGCGTGCGAGGTGCGGCGGGCGGTGTGCGCTGACAGGTGGCCAGAGCACAGCATGGCAGGATATAGGGGCATTTTTAGCATGATGAGAACACATAGAGGGCGCCCGAGGAGCACGGTTGCGACAGACGACGATGCTCAGATCGCTCGGGCCTAAAAATGCTCAGGCGCAAGAAAAATGGTGCGTATAGTTCTTGTTTGACCTGTGGTTGGCTCGAGTGGGTGGGACCGTCGACCAGCCAGCCTCGACTGGCTCATCCATCGTCGACTGACTGGGCGCTCCGTCCCTGCCTCGGTCCTCGCTCTCGACATGTACAATTCATTGAGGTTTGTCGCGCTGTTATCATCAGCTCACACAGCAGCCCCCACATTCAAACTCACCCTCGAGCCCTTGCACACACAGGCAACCATGTCTGATGCTGCCAAGCCCGCGGCGACCAAGCCCAAGGCCGCCAAGCCGGCCAAGCCGGCCCAGCACCCTCCATTCAAGAAGCTGGTCGTGGCGGCCATAGCCGAGCTCAAGGAGGTGCGTGCGGTGGACCGCGCAACAACGCAACAACGCCTCGCCAAGCTCGCGTGGCCCACATTTTCCTTGCACGAAGCAATGCAAACAGTCATGTGCACCGGCAATAGCCAAAGACCCTGCCAGTAGGCCTCCGCTGACCGCTTCCACGCTGGCGGGTGCCCTGCCTGCCGATCCCACCTGGCGCAGAGGGGCGGCTCCAGCCTGCCGGCGATCAAGAAGTGGGTGGGTGACAAGTACAAGGGCAAGCTCGCGTCTTCCTGGGAGAAGAACGTGACCCTGGCACTGAAGAAGCTTGTCGCCACCAACGAGCTGGTGAGCCGCGCCGCACGCACTCTGGCGCTCCCGCCACGGGGGCGCGCGTCGCGCACGCGCGCGGCACGTTGACCCAGATCGCGCGCCGTCCAGCCTGCGCACGCGCAGGCACTCTCCTTGCCGAACCGGACCCCGATCTTGGCCTTTCACGGCTCACCGGGCCCTTGAATTGGCGGCGCGCGCGCGGATCTGCGCCCGGTCTGCCCGCCGCGTGCGCTTTATCGGGGCACGGCCTCCCCTCCGCACAACCGCGACCTCCCCGGCCCCAAACGACGCCGCTCACAGGAGAAGGTCAAGGCCAGCTACAAGCTGGGGGAAGCCGCCAAGAAGGCGGCCACCAAGAAGGTGCGGCGCGGCCCGCGCCGGCAAACCGTCTCGACCGCAAATCACAGCCCCGCGCGCCGCAGTCGCTCGTTTGCGGCCGGTCGGGCACCTGCAGGCGCAGCCCTCGCGTTCACCACCCATCCATTGGCCACCCTCTGCATGCATGCATTTGCACATGAATTGCAGCCCAAGGTGAAGAAGGCGGCGCCGGCCAAGAAGAAGGCCGTGGCTAAGAAGGTGTGTCACTGGAGGCAACCGCGGGTGGCCGGCCGGGGCAGATCGCGCTGGGGGTCGGTTGAAGCGCCACTTCCCCGCCTTTGCCCTCAACAGGCACGCACGACGCCGCAGGTCCTTGGCGTGCAGCACCTTCTTACAACCCTCAACCCACCCTGGCGCCGCTCTTGCGCCGCGCCCCGCCCCGCAGGCGGCCGCGCCCAAGGCCAAGAAGGCCGCCGCACCTAAGAAGAAGGTGCGCCGCTCCTCAACCATCCCCCAGCTCGCCGAATGCATGACAGCCTCGCGCATGCAAATGTCATGATCGCGCCATGCGTTCTTTCTGTCACACCGCCTCCTCACCGGCGCCGCCGCCGCGAACCCTCTGGACCTGAACCGTGACGCACGCAGGCCGCCCCCGCGCCCGCCGCGGAGGGCGAGGCGGCGGCGCCCAAGCCCAAGAAGGCCCCTGCCGCCAAGCCAGCTGCGGTGAGCTTGGGTTTGGTGGCTGAATGAAACTAGACCCTCTGCACCCCAGGTGCTACAGTGACAGATACAAAGCGTTGGTTGTATTTCTTCCATTGCAGCAGGGGTGCGGCAGCATAGCATAGGCCAGCAAGCACGCCACACGCCTCGCCTCGTGCGTCCCATCGGACGCACCTTTGCGCGACTCAGTCTTCGTGCGCGCCGCATCGCCCCTCGCCTCTCCGGTGCCGCGATGCTATAACAGGCAAAGAAGGCCGCTGCGCCCAAGGTGAGGCCCGGCTTCTCTCCTTGTGCGTGGCCACCCCGGCGCGGCCGAGCACGTGACACGCACCCTCACGCATTAGTCATGATGCGGCTGCTGACCGAGGCCCCGCCGCCCACCTGTCGAAACACATGTTTAAATCCAGGCCAAGAAGGCGCCCACCAAGAAGCCCGCCGCCGCCAAGCCCAAGGCAGCCCCCAAGCCCAAGGCAGCCCCCAAGCCCAAGGCCGCGGCAGCCAAGCCCAAGGCGGCCGCCAAGCCCAAGGCCAAGGTGCGCCCACCGCCTCGGCTCGCGTCCGCCCTTCCCCGCGCGCTCCTGCGCCGTGGCGCACGCCAGGTCCACGCAAAGCACCCAATTGTGCTTGGGTACGCATGCTTGCGCGACGTCGTGCATCCACTGACCTCATCCGTCCCATTCAAACCCACACCTGCCCACTGCAGAAGGCGACACCCAAGAAGGCTGCGCCCAAGGCGAAGAAGGCCGCCGCCTAGGCTAGGCACCCCATCCTGGCCCTCCGGGGCCGTATCAGCCCGTGGCGACCGGTTGCACCTTCCACCCGTTGACCCAAGGGGGACAGATGGCACGCGCCGGCCGCCGCAGCGTGTCCCTGCGCGCCTGGCCGCGGCCGCGAGCGCGCACAGACCCCAGGATTCCCCCCACTGCGCCCAACCGCTGCGCGGGCCGCGCCACGACAGACTTTACAGGGCCGTATCAGGCTTGGGCGCGCGGACGCGCGCCGCGCCGCGCCGCACCCTCCAAGCACGCGCTGACCGGGGCCGACCCTCTCCTGCCCTCGGATGACTCACCGACCAAATCCACTGGGAGGGGCGGCGCGGCCTTTGGGCGGGTGGCGCCTCGCGTGCACTCAGATCCAGGGGGGGGCGCGCCGCCAGTTGCACTTTACCCCGCCAGACCCGGACACTGCGTGACCGCATGTACAGAACCCCCCGCAACAAAGGCAAGCATTGTGCCCCTACTCAGCTCTCTGCTCTGATTCTGACCGCTACTGTGTGCTTCCGCACTGCGACGGTGATGCCGTTTCACAAGGGAGGTTATTGTGGGGGTTTTGATGGATGTGTAAGGACTGCCCATGCCTGATCTGCTGTCACCAGTAATAGATACTTGTGCTTGGCTACAGATACAAAACGGAGCATACTGGCACAGCTGTACGAGAGGGTTCAACCAGTGGCAAGCAGGCAGGAGGCAAGTGTGGGGGAAGCAGCATGCTAAATCATGTGCACCGGCTCAGCGCATGCACAGCAGGCAGCGCCTTGGCGCCGCCACCCTCACTTTGTTGCAAGTCGAAGCCTCTCAGGGGAAGCAGACGAAGGGGTAAAGCACGTCAAGTGGCACTGGCGCAGCTGTGGTTTCTCAAAGCGCGTCACTTTGGTGGGGAGCAGCTGCGCGGTGCGTCCCTGGAAATGGATGTGGGGCCGTTGGTGGCCGCAGCACGGACTGGAATTCCAGGGGGCACCAACAGGATCAGTGCTTGAGGAGGAGCGGGGGGCACGACGCGCCACCACCCATGCAGCCTTCAAATGGGAACCGCGATGCATGTCATGCATTGGCCAGACATTGATCGGGAGCTGGAGCTGTGTAGACCCACCCAAGCCCTGAGACATCACCGCCGCCCCGCGCTGTGCGCTGCTGCGACCTCCGCCGCCGGGCGCGGCGCCGCGGCGGCGCCGGCGGGCGCGCGGGGGGCGACGCCCTTCGAACGCGCCCAGGCCAGCCAGGCGCGCCACGTCTGCGGGCAGGCGGCGGCGGTGCGCCCGGCGCGCGCGCATGCGTGAGGTGACATGACTGCATGGAAGCGGCTTCGAAGTGGGAAGGAGAGCGCGCGTGTGCACACACACATGCACGCACGAGCGCGCGCGCACACACATGCATACACACACACACCGCACACACACACGCGCGCGCGCGCGCCCGCCCTCACCGGGTCCCTCGCCAGCGTCCTGGCGTCCCCCACCACCACCAGCCCCCGCCGCGCCCGCGTCACCGCCACGTTGAGCCGCCGCACGTCGGACAGGAACCCCACGCCGCCGGCGTCGCTGCTGCGGACCGCGCTGAATACGACCACCTCCTTCTCCCTCCCCTGGAAGCCGTCCACCGTCTTCACCTCCAGGCCG